AACTGAGGCGATTGTAACTCACGTTTTCAATCCCAACTTATGCGCTCCATAGAAGCTTGTTCAGGCGCTGTTGTCACCCTGGTCTGGACAGTGCACTGATTTTGCACACGCCCAGCCCCCACCCACTATCATCTACCACCATTTTAACAGTTCATTATTTTTTTTGTTTCCACCCTTCCATCCCGATTACAAATAGTTACTCGTGTACCTCACGTGACTTCATTCCGCTCTGCTTAGCTCACAACTCTCATCAACTTTTTAATCTACCCATATTTCTACCTCTTTTTCATGTGACTTTTGTCCTCTCACAACTTCTACAACCCTAACATTGACTGCAACTCATCACATTCGTTTGTTCTACATGATCACCGGTGCCATTGTTTTAAACAGCTGTAACCATTCACTCAGATGTCAGTACTATGATCGCCTTACAGACGCTACCGCCTGATGCGATATATCGAAAATAAATTTCGCAAACGCCGTTTTCTACAATGTCAGTTTCGTATACCAAGTGCTTCCAAATACGTTTAAGTCCGTGTGAAAACCTTAACCGCTGAAGTAGTTTCACTTGTACTTCTGAACCCGTCAATGTGTGTGTTTGTGCAAGGGGGAACTGGTCAACGTATTCCACACGTGTATCTGGTCATGACCTCCGTCACGGGACAACAAATCTTCGATCGACCTCGCCACTACAGGGTCTGGAGAACTCCCCTCGCCAGTCTCCCCCCTGCATTTCCACTCTACATGTGACAATTCTTGGCTTCCTAAACGGTTAACGAATCATTCTGCCCGATATAATGGCTATTTGTCGACCAACCGCATTCTTAAGTTGTTTGGTGTATGAGCAATTATGTACATGCAAAAGCCTCAAAACACTGTAGTTTGTCATAGTTTGACCATACACTTGAGGATTGAGTATTATTCGTTCACGATGAAGCTGTTCCCTCTTTCAGATAGACCAGGGGCAACGAGGTCCGGACACAGGTCCAGAGCATACAGTGGCAACAAGGAGTTAAAACATTTGACTACCACCATCACGATCCGCTTTGATATAAATCAACTGTCGTCTGCAGGTCATGGACGAAGATAAACAACGCCTAATACCGGTACACTGTCATATACGCATCACTACTGCATAAGAAGGAGCGCACATCTCCCATCTATGGACATATTCTGGACTTAGTCAAACTATTGTGATCTGCCAAAACCCTGAACATTCTCAGGACCAGTAAACGAACAAAACACATCGCCTTTAATGACCGTAAAACATTTCAAAGCTTCTATTTCAAAATAGAAGCAGGCTGAAATTTTTAAATTCCTGTTTTGAATGCAATCGTTTAAACATGTCGTCTTCTGCGAGTGCAGATCTGATTTTTCGGTGTATGTCGCGGTGCATTGCTAGAACCATATAGCTTTCATGAAAGAGGTCTTTTGAATGGTGCTGTTCAATAACGTCTGACGGAAATGACGGTTTCATTTAGTTTCATTATCTGTGTTAAATTTCCTGCATGGGATTTATACATCTACCAGTTTTGTAACCAATTTCGGTCCATCTTTTCCAATTTTCAGCTTCCCAAAGCGTTGGGCATACAGGTGCGCCACGACGGGACACAATTGTTCATTCCATCGGTGAAACTGAGCAACGCGGGTACGTATCGTTGTTCGGCCAAGGTGCATCGTGGTTCCGAACCGGCCACTTTGATACCAATGATCAGTTTCAAAGTGACTATTGAAGGTAAGTCTTCATCTTCCATCAAATGACTGTGTTTCTTCAGAAACATTTGCCACCTGCTTGCTTCAATTGAAGCGTTTGAGCTAACATGACTTTCAGACACAAATAAAGCTATGAATGCCCAGCAGTAAGCACCTCTTGCTGATCACAAGAGCAGTCTGATTTTCATGACTAACTTCCACGAAACTGGCTTCTTCTCATAGATGATCTCCTGATGTTGTCCATAATTCACTTGTGCGAACGATATACAATTATTGCCATTTAGTTGGTATCTAGATACTTGAACAGAACTGATAAGTGCTTCAGTCAATTCCTCGTGGCAATTTCACGAATTTCCATGAACTCCATTCGTGCTGCGGATTGCAGCCGTGCATTGCTAATTAATTTTATTTGTTCGTGACGTCTTCACCTTACCGAAATTAGCTAGTTACAACTGGGGACGGGCGGATTCCTTCGAAGAGAAGCTTCTTAAAAGTTGACTTAGGCGAACATTTCATGAGATGGGAATAATATCTCGCCTACTGTCAGCCAAGCGACGACAATGGTCAAGTGGTCAGCGTCATCTAAATAGTGGCCCGAAGGTTCTCAGCTCCAATCCCGCCACCATCGATTATCTTCCCCATTTTTGCATTCGCTCAGGCAATTTTTGTTCAGTAGCAGCCCCCTTATTGAAAGTTTACTGTACAATAAATAAACAGAAAACTTTCATTCAGTCAGTTGGTGAGTTAGTTGCAGCCCCTAATTTGAAATTCAATTTCCATGCTTCTCCCTTGCTCATTGGAGGTTCTGGTTTTTCTTCATTCCGGTTATCTTCTCGGTTATCCTTCTTACTATTACGTATCTTACCATTGCTGAATAATGTTTTTTTCCACAAATGAGTGTTTTTGACCTACGGAGATCTAAAAGAGTCGTCCTTCTTTTCAGACCGATAGGCATGAAATCAACTGGAAATCACTGAGCAACTAAACTTCACACGTCGAAGACTGAATTAAAAAATGGATAGCCTTAAAATTCCGTCCATTCAACTGGACTTCCGCATGCTAGCTGTTTCCATTTGTGTTTGAGCACCTTACTGCTGAAAGCTTCTTAACTTGGTCATTGTTTGAGCGAAACAGGTATTAGCATGAGCTTGCAATAAAAGCAAACAAAATAAATAGTTGGGAGAGAAATAGGGGTCACCGTTTTCGACAGACACCGATTGGAATACTGCGATTTTACTTTGAGAAGGACAGAAGTAAGATGAAGGGAGTGCTGAAATACAAATATGTTACCCTCAAACGAATGTTGTGCTTAGTTATAGGGCTTGAACACTCACTGGTAGTAGAATCCTTCATTTAAAATGAGTTTCATCCAATCATATATATATATGTGTATATTGTGTATGAGTGTAGTTCTATCAGAACAGAATATCTGCGTATGCGTTTGGGTGCTATGATAAACAACCTAGTACTTTCTGCCCTTACCCAGTCGCGCACATATATCAAATCACGGTGATACCGCTCCCCGTGAAAGGGGATAGCCCAAAGAAACGCAAGGAGCACATCTAGTTTATGTGGTCTGTTAGACCGCATTGCTTATACATACGGTCTATAATTATTCATTAGTTCGGTGCGCACAGACCAGTGCCGACCAGGCCCATTGTTCTCTCCTGTTCTCTCCAGGGTTTCTGTATCAACAGAATTCGCCCAAACAGATTGTCCGGTGATTGCTGATCTGAATTACAAGCTTTGACCTCCTTCACCGTAAATTAGACTATCTTAGACAGACAAAGACAGATATATATTTATATAATATGAAGAGAATAGTACCGCTTGTCATGACTGTTGATGAAGTGAACCTCATCCAATAGAGCAGTGCTTACCGGGCGCGATAAATTCCAAACGTACATACAGTCACCCCCCCCCACACACACAAAACGCCCAAATGCTGGTAGGTGGTCTGTTTTGGATCCGAATAAACTCAACACATATGCCTGTCCCTCCGTATATGTACACAACTCTTCATCAATATCAGACCGCTGGTTGTTCAGAACCTTCAGGATGTTCCTAATATATGGATACCATTTCGCACACGAACAGACGCATTGAGTGTAACTTGTTGCCAACCGCCGGGGAAGAAATTCCAATTTTGGTTTCCATGCACACGAGTTCGCGCTTAGACAAACGAAACTCAGTATTTACGGTAAAGATTTATTTAACCAAAAGAATTTCCGGACTATAGGCTAAGTGGCCTAATAAGAGATGTCTCCTACCGCCTGCAGTTCAATCTGAGATGCATCAGTGCATAGCTCACTGATTAGTAGTATTGCATGGGTCTCTGCTCTGAGGATCGATGGTCAGTCAGGAATTCACTGTGGTTCTTCTCTACTAGGTGGACGCAAGTGTAACAAGTGACTGTGCCACAGTTTTGGAAGGTCACGGTATACAGATTCTAGCAATTGGATATCGGACA